CAATAAAAGACAAAATCTGGATCATTTCCTTGCATCTCCATTTTGTGTTCACACGAAGCTTGTCTCATGTGCTTGGAATAGATTCTCTTGTTTCTCCACCCCTGGGTAGTTTCTACTGAAGAGTACTGAGAATTATACAGAAGCATTTAGGAAAGGTGATCAAAAAATGCATTTCAACAACCTCAGAAGTCCTTGGCAATGCCAGAAGGCTAATCTTTGCCCAAGCAATTGCAGGTAAATATTATAAGATGCCAGAGCAGACATCACTTCTTCTGCACTCCCTCCTTGCTGGGGAGCTGGCTTTCATTTCAGATGATCCATGCAGGTCCTGGGGCTCACCCTAGAGAGGCCTGTGTTATATTTATAAGATATCCCATTATCTGGTTTCAAATACCAAGTCGGAAGGGAGTCAGGCAATAGTGTGCTGAAAAGCTTTTGTTATGAAAACTCAAAATACCAATCTATCAAACAAAGATGATTTGATTGCATTCTGAATAGTAAATCACACACAGCAGACTACGTCTGCATATAAATTATAACCTGAGTAATGAAACCAAACGTTTCGGTATTCTTGCACTTTTGCCTAAGGTTCAGAATCCATCAGTTACTGGTTTCCAGTGTTTTTAAAACAATAGCTCTCCTTTAAGTCTCTATTTCACTTAATGCAAAGAGAAGCTGGAGCTTTAAACCTAATATGGTATTGATGGGAAGTCATTAATCTCTCTCATAAAGGCATGGAGACAGAGACAAACTTCTCAGATCTGAGCTTAGCAGCTCAGTGCTTGTGAGCAACATCATTTCTGTCCACAGCATCCATCAACACTTTTCTTCTCTGCAATTCAGAACATAGGTAGGCACTTAAAGGACACCCAGGGCCTTTCACAAATAGGCCAATTTTTCCTAGTTGTATCCTTTCCCTAAGAAACTTCAGCCAAGTAGCTAGGCTATCATACAGCTAAGTTGTCAACATTAACACAAAAATCAAGCTGGACAAAGAATAGCATCACATCAAAGAAAGGCCCATGACTAGCATCATCTGAAATTAGTATTCCGTTTCTCAACCCATGTCCACTGACAAACACATGATGCGGAAGAAGGGAAGAATAGAGAAGGGGCCAGTCTCCCCTCTTGTTTTACCTACATGTCTGTCTCTGAAAATGAACCAAGGATTATACTGAATCCCCTTCATGCTTGTAAAGTAGATATTCTCATTTACATATGTCAATCAGCCACACAATTACACAGAGAATAAGAAAACCCAACACAATTGATGGTCCTGATATCAAGCAACCATTTAACACAATTGATGATCCTGATATCAAGCAATCATTTAACACATTGCCGAGACCCCTCTGATGTATCAGCCATGGGTTTGTTCCTGTCCTTATTTCACTGGTAACAGAGTAAGGGATATAGAATATTTACACAAGCTACATCAAAGATAGTTCATCATATTGTTATAGACCAATATCTTAGCAATCTAGATGAAGGGAAGTTATGGGAAATAGAGAAGAGTCTGGATTTCACTGTCTCAAACATTTGGATTTAAATTCTAGATCTTCTATTTTCTATCCACAGGGAAGCTAGTGATACTTAAGTCGCAGCTTACTTAGAGAGGCTGACCATACACAACTTGCTGTTGTATGCATGCATTGTGTACAGTTCTCAGAGTATCCCTATGAAGGTTGCATTTTGATTAAGTTCATTTTACTGAAGATGAAACGAGACGGGCTATGAGCTGTGTGAGCATCAGAATGTGTGACTCTGAGGGACACAGTCTTCACTGTGCTATCCAGTCCCATCATTGACCTTTCAGCCACGTCACAGGTGCGTAGCACAGTCTCTAAATAACAGACAACCCAGAGATGGCGCCGCTTCTGAACGGAGGAGATGGGGGCCAATGACAGAACACGAGCAGGATTGGAGGCATAAGCCAATACCAAAGGTCAGTTCTACAAAAGGTAAATGCTTCTAATTTGGGAGTGTAGGAAAATGGCAAAGATGCTTGGTACCGCCTAAGATCACCACTGTGATGGCTGGAGAAGGCATCAATGCCGGGCACATGACTTGCAGCCCATTGTAAGGTGACAGACAGGTTGTTTTATGAAAATTATTAACACAGTTCAAGAAGCTAAAGAGAACCCCAGAAGATGTGGAGTTCATACTACACTGGCAGATACATGAGGTCAAGGAAAAATTTTTGGTGATTCAGAGGTTGTGCATTTCACAGCTTGTGAGGTGAGAATAAAACCTCTCCACCAAGTGAACATCTCCTCTCTGTCTTTTGTTAAGCAACGGTATCCTTCATAAGGCTTGAAAGGGTCCAGGTAGCAATTTTAAACAGGAAACAGGAACTAGCCCCAGTCTGCCACTCTTGGCATGCAAAGCATTCTGAGACTTAGGAAGTCTTCCTATGGCTAGCTATGTGAAGTCACAAAACCCCCAAGTACAGCCCATTAAAAACAAAAACCCATGCACAAAAACAGTCTTTGTAAAGGTCTAGGTCTTTCGTTTGACCTTGGTTCTACCATAGGAAGGTCAACAAGATGTTCATGGACAAATTTGAAGCAAGGGACAGTCCATTCTGTTCATAAAATTATTATCAAGATCATTCAAATGAGTACTAAACTAGCTTGACTATAAGGTTCAGTGTTTTAGTCGTGTGTGTGTGTGTGTGTGTGTGTGTGTGTGTGTGTGTGTGTGTGTGTGTGAGGGGAGGTGAGTATGTACACAGGTGGTTTATGGGTTCCTGAGTGTACAAGCATGTGTACCTATGTTTGTTATAGATGCAAGAGAACTTGTCAGGTGTTCTGTCTTCCTACACTTCATTCCTTTGAGATAGGGTCTCCTGATGCCCTTGGAGCTAGACTGGTGACCATCAAATCCCTGTGATTGTCCTGTGTCTGCTCTCCACGGGCCCCTGACTTGCCTCAGTGCTGGGGTTATAGGTACAGGGCTAGTTTTTAGATGGGTTCTGGGGTTTGAATGCAGGTCTCCATGCTTGGACAGTGGGTGCTATCACCCACTAAGCAGCAGGAGACTCCATCTTGCAATGAGGCACAGAATGACACAGAAACACTTGATATATCCTCTTGCCTCTGCACATACAGGCACACAAGCTCATGCTGCCAACCCTCAGGCTACTTTGCAGTGAAAGCTTTCACAGAACCAGTCATTGGGGTTCATGGGATTTTTCTTCCCTTGCTATCAGTAGGCATAGATGGACTCAATCCTGGCAACACCTCCATTCCTGTACATTTATTGCTCTATCCCTTCTGCCTTCATCTGCCGCTCCTGCCCTCATTCATGATGACATAAAATACATCTTACTTATAGAGTGTACTTTTACCTAGAAGGACAAGCACACTACCAATTCATTTCTGAAAGTTTTGTTTATTTTCTGTGGACTTATATCTTACCTGAGTGCATGTATATGTACAATGTACATGCCTGGTGACTGAGACAGTCAGAAGATGGCACTGGGTCTCCTGGAAATGGAGTTATGAATGGTTATGAGCCACTATGTTGTCACCGGGGATGGAACCCAGGTCCTTTTAGGAGAAACAATGCTCTCAACTGCTGAGGCATCTCTCCAGACCCCAATTCATTTTAAAGATGACACTTGCTCCATTCATTAAAAGATGGGCTAATGTTGACCTAGTGGATATATAATCACTTCTGACCTGCACTTCCCACAAATTTAAAACACCAAGGTCAACAAAACAGTCACCCTTTGCTTTAACCATTACTAAGTAGTATACAAATGTAAGTTGTCCACATTTTGTAATTGACTTTCAGTCAACTACACACACACACACACACACACACACACACACACACACACACACTATGTGTCCTTTGGCACACACACTCACACACTTACACACACACTCACACACTCACACACTCACACACACACACACACACTCACACACACACACACTCACACACACACACACTCACACACACACACACACACACACACACACACACACACACACACACTTGCATGCAAGCACACACATCTCTACCATCATAAAAATCTATCTCAGACTCAGAACTTCCACCCCAGGGAAACTTTTAATAGCCTGCCTTAACCCACACAAATATGCTGTTATGGACAAAATAATTTATTCACCGGAGGTGGAGGGTGTACATTTGTTTCACTGAACAGATTATTTTTTCCACAGAATTATTTTTATATTCATTATGCTGGAAATATCTACAAAATGAACATTTTTTGCAACCAAATTTATAAGAAAATAAAGTTTCTTCTAGTATTTTCAGTATATATTTCGTATTTGCAAAGCTTCCTTAATGAAAAGGAGAAGAGAAGGCCTGAGGAAAGAAAACAGCAAGCATGCATAAATTAAATGGAGTTTCTACCTTCAGTGCATATTAAGTACCCCAAAACAAATTGTATATATCTGGTTACCACATATATTGGACTACACAGAGGGTGAGAGCGTGAAAATAACTATAGACAGCAGATGCCGAATAAAATATCTCTATAGGGGCTGGAGATGGCTCAGCAATTAAGAGCACTTGCAGAAGACATTGGTTGCTCACAACCACCTGTAACCCCAGCTCTGTGGGACATGATGCCCCCTTCTGTCTTCTGCAGGCACATATGCATTTGATATGCACACATAGATATAAACACACATACATATATGTAAAAAAAAAAGAAACAAATAACATATGTACGTGTGCATCTTTTCCCTCGCTACAGATGTTTCTTCTGTAGCTTCCCCCATGTGATAGGAACAAGGTCTGTAGTTACAATGCTAGGATTGGGGAAGTGCTTCTGTGTGTGTGTTTGTCTTATTGGATGATAAATAAAGTACTGTTTGGCTAACGAGGCAGCAAGTTAGGCGGGACTAGGAGTCAAGGAGGATTCTGGGAAATGTAGTAAAGAAGTGGCGATCCAGGCAGGAAGTGACACAACAGGGAGACTCATATAAACAAGGGCAAGAAGGAAGTGGGCCCCTTCTCTCTTCCTCCAGAGTCACCATGTGAGCCCAGGAAGACAGGACACTTGTCGCTGGGGTCCAATAAGGTAAGTCTTATAAAATATATAGATTTATGATAATTAAGACTGAGCTAGCAGATGAGAAATCCTAGTCATTGGCCAAACAGCATTTGTACCTAATACAAATTCTGTGTATTATTTGGCCACCCACGTGGCAGGCAGAACTCAAGTGAGTGGCGGAAAGATTTATCATAACAACGCTACATATGGTTAATTATTAGAGGCCTGGTACAAATATTTGACTTGTAAAAATGTCAAGCACTGCCTCATCCATTGGCAAGTCCTTCATGCTTTGTTAGATAGCATCACAGATTGTGCTTAATGAAAGCAGATACCTTGCCCATGTGTCTTAGGGCTGGAAACACTATGAAATCTAATAAATTAAGGCTGGACTGGGGAAACTACAGTCAGAGCTTCTCTGACTGGCTCAGTCACCTCCTACCAATGGGAACCACGGTAAGTCAACATATGCTTTCAGTTGCTTTGGCCTCTTAGCTTTCGAAGCACCATTTCCACACGATCAGTCAGCTAATAAAGTGTGATTATTAAGGGAATATAAGCATCATTTTGAAATAAACACCAGTCTGATCTTTACATCACCCACTGCAGTTATCTCGAAAAGGTCATCATTTGCTCAGATTAAGAAACAAAAGAGGTGGCACTTTGGGTTGTTTGTAAGGGAAACCGGACCTTAATTTGGAGAAGGTGTGTCTGGCAATGAGGAAGTTGAGTGATGGATTATGTGTGACTGCCAGCAGACACCTTCCTCCTTGGGTGAAAACCCAATGATGGGTGACCTTCCTGGAGTGAAAGGAATGACTCAGGTGAGTAAAGCTGTACACCCCCAAAATAAAACAATTTCCAGGTTTTTTTCCTTTTTCCCCATTTTTTATTTATATTAGAAACAAGATTGTTTTACATGTCAGTCCCAGTTCCCTCTCCCTCTCCTCCTCTCCACCCCCTACTAATACCCTACCTATCCCACACTAATTCTGCTCCCCAGGGAGGGTGAGGTCTTCCATGGAGGGGTCTTCAGAGTCTGTAATAACCTTTGGGATAGGGCCTAGTCCCTCCCCCATGTGTCTAGGCTGAGGGAGTATCCCTCTGTGAAATGGGCTTCCAAAGTCCATTCCTATGCTAGGGATAAGTAAGGATCTACTACAAGAGGCCCCATAGATTTCCAAGGCCTCCTCATTGACACCCACATTCATGGGGTCTGGATCAGTTCCATACTGGTTTCACCCTGTCTCAAAAACAAAAACAAACAAACAAAAACAAACAAACAAACAAAAAGTTCTACACAAAAATCGACACTTGGGCATTGGTGACGATTTTCAGTTTTAAACATAACCTAGACTTATGGGCCTGTGATGTTTCTGTCAGCATCATTAATTGAGCACCTAAAATGCATTTTGAACATTCCACTCTGTGAGTCACTCTCTAGTCCTTAAAAGTTGGCTGGAGTTGCACTGCCCTGGAGGTGGAGGAAACTGTGAACTTAAGCACAATAGTTGGTTCTCCTTCCCGTTATGAAGCCTCACTTAAGGGAGAATGTTTGGTTTGTTGACGACATATGGTTCCACTTCCACAAATGGCCTCTTGGTTCCATCATAGGAGGGATACACCTTGTGACAGGTGGACATAATATTTGTACTTTACACCCTACAGAAGGGAGGCTCTGCACTGAGTGATACCTTACATTTGCAGATGTTCCATATATGTCAATGAAACCAACAAACTAATCCTATCTTCATTCTCTTTGAGGTATGGATACTAGAGTATGGGAACTGTAAATATGTGCTTATGATACAAGTTTGATCACCACAATTACATACAGGATGGATATGGGTCTTCTATCTTCCTGTGCCAAATGCTTAAGAGCCAAAAGCATTTCTGTTTCTATCTTGTGTATGTCAAAAATGATGTAAGAAGAGAAATAAACTGTATACATATAAATCCTTTTGACTTAAATCCTTTTAACTTAAGTAAAATAATCAGTATCTGGTCTACTTAATGCCAAAATGATTGGTTCAACCTACATTATCACTTTTCATTGGTTTATTTTGGCATCACAGAAAACAGAATAATGGTTAAATGATACTTATCTATTAAGCAATAGAAAACTGTCAGATTAAGAAACCAGCCCCTGCCAAATAGGCCACTTCTGAATGCCCTGTGCTGAATTCTCATTTTATGTATTGATTGCTTTCTTTCACACACATGTCTTTGCTGTGAGCTAGAGAACAAAATAATCAATGTGGTATAAGTGTGTTTGTGTGCTGCACAACACATGTATTCACACATATGTATTATGTGCATTATTTGCACACACACACACACACACACACACACACACACACACACACACACACACACACACACGGGATATTTTAACTGTCACTATCATGGAAAATATTCTTTCAATTCAATTTATCTAGTAGCTGCTTTCTTAGATGGGTCATCTGCCACCAACCTTGCTGTCACATGCCATCATGAAGTGCATTGTAATTAGCTGTACATTTCTTGTCATGGATCTGGACTACACAATGATAACAGGCTGGGGCTGTCGGGGAGGTGTCATGAGTATGGGCGGACGCTAAGTGGCAGCACAGTGGTCCTATGTCAGGTCTCCAGGAGGCTTTCGAGCTCTGGCCTTAGCTCCTCCGGCAGTGCGCTTTAAGAAAAGAGGGTATCTCTACAATACATTGACGCTCTAAACATCCCTCATCAATAGGTGAGTGTTGATGTCTGGGCTCAGTCCTGAGCATCAGAAAAGACACTAGAAGTCTCCAGTAATCGCTCACTCAGATCTGATTTCTCATCTACTTCTAACTATTTGTAAATAATATATTACAAAAGTATTGGAGGAAGTCAGACATTCATACCAATATTTAAGTTAGTTACAGCAGTTAAAAATTGAACATTCATAAAGCTGGAGGAGGAGTGTGATTGGGAGGGGGGTTAGGTGGGGAGTGGGGGTGGGGGTCAGGGGGGGGGATAGGGGGGGGGG